GATCCAAATGGCTTGCTTGGCTGCGTCGGTAGCTGCCATGAACTCCGCTTCACAAGATGATAGTGCAACCGTTTCCTGCTTGTGTGAACTCCAGCTAATAGGACAGCCTGCAAAATAGAACACGTGACCAGTCGTACTATGTCCGTCGTCCTCATCTACGTTATGAGAAGCATCACTATATCCCACGATTCCAACACTCTTAGATAGTTTGAAATCAGATCGCGCAAAGACAAGACCGTATGTGGTTTTTCCCTCTAAGTAACGCAAAGCTACCTTAAATGCTGCATCATGAGACACCTCGGTGCCTGCATATACCGGCTAAGGACTCCGACCACATACGAGAGATCGGGCCAAGTATGTAGCAGGTAGCGCAGACAACCGATGCCTCTCCTATACTCAGTCTCGTTTGCATATTTCTCTTCTGAAGCCTTAGACAATGACAAATCCGGGTACATGGGAACATGTACAGCATTGCAACTGTCCATACCTGCTTCACTTAATATTCTCATAGCATATCTTGGTTGAGCATAATACCTTCAGAGTGTTGGAGTACTTCGATCCCAAGATAATAAGTGAGCTTTCCTAGATCGTTCATCTCAAAATTCTCAGTCATTCCTCTCTTGAACTAATTTATATGCGCCATGTTTTTCCATGTTACCAATAAGTCATCAACATAAACTGCGATCAATAACATCGCTGTTTTTGACCTTACGGTATAAAGCTGTATCTTTGGAACATTTCATAAAACCTAAGCTTCCAAGGACTTTGTTAAGTTTTTCATTCCAAGCTCGTGGATCCTGTCGCAGTCCATACAAGGCCTTTCGAAGTTTGTAAACCTTGTTCTCTTGTCCCTTGATCACATATCCTTGTGGCTGATGAACAAACACTTCTTCCTTCAAATCTCCATGCAAAAACGCAGTCTTGACATCCAGATGGTGTATCTGCCAGCCTTTAGATGCTGCTAATGCAATAAGTAATCTCACTGTCTCCATGCGTGCTACTGGAGCAAACACTTCTTCGAAATCAATGCCATGTCTTTGTATATATCCTTTTGCCACTAACCTTGCCTTAAACTTGTTGATGTTCCCATCTGAGTTTCGTTTCACCTTGAATACCCACTTTAAACCAATCGCTTTTGCACCATTAGTGAGATCAACTAACTCCCACGTTTTATTCTTTACTATTGATCCAATCTCGTCATCACACGCATCAATCCATACCTTGTGCACTTTTGCTTTGTCATAACTCCAAGGTTCATCATTCATACTCAATAAAAGTCTCTCACTTTCAATGTCCGCCAAGAGAATATAATCCTCAAGATATGCTGGCATCTTTCTTTCACGTGTGGATCTCTTTAATGAGATATCATCGCCATCCTCCAACTCGCACTCCTCTTCATTCTTTTGATTTGTTACTTCAGTTTGAGTGATTGCCCGGTTTGGTTCAGAACTCTCTCCTTCTTCCTCATTAATTCCTCTGTTTCCATAAGTGCTGAAGCTTATGTCGAATGTTCCTCCACTATCTTCATTTTTTTTCCAAATCCACGGCTTTTTTTTCATCGAATATAACGTCCCTGCTTACCACCACCTTCCGATTTGTGGGATCATAAAGCCTATAGGCTTTTGACCCTGGTTCTGTTCCGAGATGGACAAGCACTCTAGATCGATTGTCAAGCTTTTTTAGATGATAAGAATCTATCTTAGCATAACAAACACAGCCAAAAACCCGTATGTGATCAACTGACGGCTTCTTCTTCTTTAGAACTTCGTACGGTGTACATGAGTCAAGAACACGAGTTGCTACTCGATTAATCACGTAGGTGGAGTGTCTTACTGCTTCTCCCCAAAGGTGGTTCGGACACTTCATACCCTTTAATATACTTCGCGTCATTCCCATCTGTGTCTGGTTACGTCTCTCAACAACTCCGTTTTGTTGCGGAGAGTAGGGAGCCGTGAGGTGTCTAGCTATGCCCGAATCTTCACAAAACGCTTGGAATTCGTAAGAGATGAACTCCCCACCGCGATCACTCCTGAATGTCTTGATAGAAGCTCATGTTTCTTTCTCAACTGTTGCTTTAAATATCTTAAACTTTTCAAACGCTTCTCCTTTCTCCTTGAGCAATATTGACCACATGTACCGTGAGTGATCATCGATGAGTACAAATATATATCTCTTGCAGGACGGCGTCGGAGGCGTGATAGAACCACACAAGTCCCCGTGTATCAACTCAAGTAACCTTTCTGCTCTGTAAGAAGTAGCTTGTGGGAAGGAGTTCCTTGCTTGTTTCCCAAGTATGCATGATGAACATGTTGTTTTTTCGAGTTTGAGATCTGGTAGGCCGACTACTAAATCTTTATCCATCATCTTCTTCATTGTGCTGTTCCTATATGTCCAAGGCGGGCATGCCATTTACCTGAATCCGTCAGCATTGAAGTTTGTAGATACATGTGATCGACTTTGTTGATAACAACTTTGTATAGTCGATTCTTTGACCTCTTAGCTCTTGTTATTAGTCTCCCATTCTTGTCATTCATCGTAAGATAATCATCTTTCATCCTTATGTCACAACCAGTTTCCGTAGCTTGACCAAGACTAATAATATTACTTCTCAGATCAAGATCTTGTGTGATCCATCCTTGCTGCAGAATAAGATTGAACCCTTTCCCTTGATATCAACACAAGAATCGTCTCCAAAGCGCACCTTGCCTGTGATTGATGCATTGATTGATTTGAAGTAACTTATATTCCCGGTCATGTGATTACTTGCACCGTTATCCAAATACCAAACATTATCTGTGTTTGTCTCAAGTTCGAGCGGTTTGGCGTTCTTCTCATTCAAAAATACAACTTCATTCATCATCAACTCTTCTGCTTCCATTGTCTCCTTCGTTTCATTCTCCTTATTCTCTGTGGCTTCTTGTAGTTTTAACAAACGATCAGGACAATTAGAGGCGTAATACCCATTCTTGTCACAACGAAAACATGTGACCTTTGAAAGGTCGACTTCCCCATAGTATCCATTGTAGTTACCATTGTAGCGTCCATTGTATAGGCCTCTCCCTCTGCCTTTGTTAAAGAAACGTCCTCCACGACCTCTTCCACGGTAATATTCGTTCGAGTCATGGTTGCTAGCCGTGGATGAAAAATCCGAGTTCGTGTACATAAGTTTTGGGTTTTCTTGCGTCTCTTCTTCGTCCATGGCAACACGTTCCTCGAATGTTTTGATGCATCCAATAATCTCTTCAAAACTTGTAGTCTTTAAATCAAGAACCTGTTCTAAAGAGGCTACTATATGTATGTATTTGCGACAAGGGAGGGCACTTAGAAACTTCTTAACCAGCTTAACTTCTTCAATTATTTCCCCTAAAGCAGCATATTGTGATGAGATCTCTGAAATTTTTCCCACAAAGTCATCAATCTTATCTTCGTCTTTCATCTTCAATCTATCAAACTCGGACATAAGTGTTTGCAATCTCGCTTCACGAACTCTCTCTGCTACCATATGTCTTGATTTCACAGCTTCCCAAACTTTCGCAGTTTCAAGTTCTCCTACTTGTAATATAAGCGTCTCAGGGATGGATTGGAATAGCAGTGCTATCGCAATGTTATTCTTTTCTGTGTCCGCTGATTCTTCTTCTATTACATCCCATACTCGATGTAGCTTCAGCAAAACCTTGATTATGATCGACCATACCGTATAGTTCGATGTTGTTAACATCGGACAGCTTAGCGTAGAGGGTCCTCCATTCTTCGGCTTGATGACAACAGTCGACAAATCTCCCATCGTTTTGAAATTTCGTGATCGAGCTCTGATACCACCTATAGAATTCGAATATGCAAAGCTCACACAAACTTAATAAGAATTTACTCTCTTATTAATCACCACAATGCTTTAGAAAATATCTCAAAACTAAAGCTCCAAAACCTTAACCCTAGATGTCACACAGGACATCTATATATATAACAGTAATATTCCTAATCTCTTTTAGATGCTTGACATTTATATAACTCCTAAATTTCTTTCTATTTCCTAATCCATATCTCGGTGGAAATAGATAACTTAGCTCTCAAGTTATTTCAAGCTTTATCCAACAAATGGAACATTGAATCTACGAGATTACTACAAAAGGAATGAGAGCAACATTCTAGAAGCATATTCACACAATAGTTATGGTGGTGACTTATACACTAGAAGAACTACATCGGGTTATGCATTAATCCTAAGTGGTACATTGATTTCGAGGTCATCTAAAAATCAGCCAGTGGTTACATTATCGACAACATAAGCTGAGTTTGTAGAAACAGTAGGATATACATGTCAAGTGATCTGGATGGGAAGAATTCTATGAGAAATTGGCCTTGTACATAAAGATGGTACTATCATCTACTACGATACATGTCCATTATCATGCTTTTAAAGAATCCAATCATGCACGAGAGGAGTACACAGATGTCAGATTTTATTTCCTTAGAAATCCCACAAACGATGACGTAGTAGAGTGGTTAATTATGGACATGTATTGATTGCATATGAAAAAACCACTGAAGCAGTGTGTGTGAGAAGCTTTATGACATGCTCGAGTTTGTGATGTAAACTGAAACAGAGTTCCTATAGTTTAGGTCTTTCCAAGGACAATGGTAAAACGAAAATGATCAGAAAGTCAGGTAAATTCGGACAATTATGGCAGAAAAGCAAAGCTTCATTTCTATGCTTTAAGTTGGATACCTTTTTGTGTACAATGTTCCCAGAAATGGTTCTTCCATGCTTTACAGTTTCTTTTATAGATTAAATAAATAAAGACGAATATGTTACAAAAGAAAAAGGAAATGAAACGAGAAGCAAAATAGAAGTTTTATGAACCATCATATAAGCCATGTATGTGGTTTAAAAACTACCATCGCCTCCATTGCCTCTGCCAAAATGATAAGAAAAACAACTGCAAACGAAAAAAATCAACAGCTTTTTTTTTGTATTTTCTATGCCTTTTGGTTTAACTCACCACTTTCAGCTTCTTCCATATTGATCCGACCTGAAGATAATGTACAAACTATCACTCGTTTTGTGTTTCACAAACATTCTGACTGGCGATTTACTATACTGTATTTCGTTACGTACCTAACAATGATATTAACGATGGGGCGTCCCCTGATCCATTTGGTTTCATGTCCGCACCTATTAACGTTTCAATGTCACGGTTTAAACTTAGATTTATATCAATGACGCAACCCTCTCTCAATAAGAGAATCTTAGCTTAAGACCAAGTTATAAGTAAACACATTGTCAATGGAGAAAGAAGAAGTCACCTGTATTTTCCATTGATCTTGTGATGTCCGACTTCTTAAATGTAAATCCTATGAAGTTATTGTCCTTGGAAGTCAACATCTGCTCAACCAAACCCAAAAGTTACAATCGAAATTCGTTGAACAGTTTTATTTCTTCTAATGATATTCTTAACCATAACAAAACAGAATCTGCTAGCTTTTTATGTCCTGAGACAATTCCGCAAACGTCAATTTTGCAACACAGAATATACTATGGGAATCAAGTGGAATGCGTCACCTTTCTCCAAGGACCAACTTGTGGTGCTTCAGATGGCGATCCTTCAACCTACAAACACATTAAAAAATATGTTTTGGATTCACTTACTAATCAATTTTCAACAACTGCCTTATGCCAGAAAACACGGAAGCATTATTCAGATTCTATCCAACTTACCTCAGGGAACTTCTCAAAATTTTGGGTGTCTAGTTCTCCATCGACGGTGGGTCTATAGGCTGCCTCCATTTCATACAGTTTCTCCCATTGGGTGCCGTTAAACCACGGATGCGACTGAAACATGAACAATGATGTCGTGGCTGAAAATGAGGACAATGAAAGGCAACTTTAAATATCCATTTTAGAAGTCTTACCTTTATCTCCTCAGCACCTCTGGTTCCCAATCTCGACTCAACATCACATAGCAGGCGACAGATCAAGTCCCTGGCTTCATCTGATATTTTTGGTTCTTCAGGGAATTTCAAGCAAACCCTCCAATTAATTATCTGAGGAAGTAAGTACAGTTCTTAATAAGTATGAATATTTGTATTAAGATATAGATAATAAAAATGTATGACTAACCAGCTACATATATACACCTACCTTGCGGCATGTTATACGGGGGTCATCGGAACAGAATGGGGGATACCCAACTAACATCTCATACAGAATTGCTCCGAGAGACCACCAGTCACATTCCATTCCATATCCTTTCTTTAGAAGAACTTCTGGAGCCATGTAATCAAGAGTTCCAACGGTTGAATAAGCCTATAAAAATGAAAACAAAATAACATTGATCTTTATAGTCTAGCAAAAATAAGCAAATCCATGTGGTTCAATTAGAGAACAAGCATGCATACCAGTGCGCGGCGATTGCGCTTCCACTGCATCAATTGCTCTTTAGGCATTTGCCAGGGGGCTTTGTCAGAGTCTGCTTTTCCAGACTGGCTCTCTGCTTCCTGAGAAAGCATTTCTTCGTCTTCTAATAGCAGTGACGAATACTTATCATCTAGTGGCTTACATAACCCAAAATCTGAAAGCTTCAAATGCCCACTTTTGTCTAGTATCAAATTATCAGGTTTGATGTCCCTACAGGCAAAGAAAAAACAAACTCAAGTCAAGAACCAGAGAATACATGGACTTCCTATAATTCACAGAGATTCTCCCCAACACACTAAATCACTAGGTCTAAAATAAACCTAATGAAAACGATTATTATCATACCTGTGAACATAGTTGTGTTGATGGATTGAATGAATAGCAAGAATGCTCTCAGCTATATAAAAGCGGGCAACATCTTCGGCGAGAATGTCTTCTCTCATGAGTAAAGTCATGATGTCACCCCCAGGTAAATACTCCATTATAAGATACAAACATTCAGAATCTTGAAAAGAGTAGAAAAGCTTTACAATGTAACGGCTGTCAACTTCTGCAAGCAAGTTCCTCTCAGACCGTACATGCTCAACCTAGAAAGAAACAGAAAAAAATGATGCAAAACCAGTCAAGTAAAAAAAAATTGCAAACCCGAGCTGAAGCAGTATGATAGGTAACTTGATGTACCAAGAGCTACTAAGAGATACTCCAAACGTAGATAAAAACGTAAAGTTACGTTTAGAAATTCATTTATAAATAATCAATCAACTACATAAAACCTTAAGCACTATATGTATATAAAATAAACACATAAAAACCCTAACACAATAAAGATAATTATCCTATAAATAATAAATGATATAATCAAGATATTTAGAATATATTCTAAATTTTTTTATCTGCAATAGAACTATATTCTCAAGCTCCTGTCTTGCATCAAAATCTGCACTTACTACTACTACTACTAAGATTACTCTAAAACATGTTACGATTCCCGATTTAACTATGGTGAATGCAAGTTCCATGAAAAAAGAAAACTCTATTGTCTTGCACTTACTACTCCTACTTCTAACACACGTGATAGTTCCCTCATTTCACTTGAATGAATGCTGAACTGAAAGAGAACAAAGGGTATGTACCTGTCCACGGCTAAGCATATCAGTTTTTTTCAACTTCTTCATGGCAAAAACCTCACCAGTAGATCTCAAACGGCATAATCTAACCTGAGATTAAACGGAATGTTATCAACATTTTTTCCATTTCTCCATCTCAAATCACAATCACACTGATCTCTCTGTTACCTCACCAAAGGCACCTTTGCCAATAACAGTCAAAAGCTCAAAGTCATCAATCCCAATTTTACGTCTCTGAAGCCTCATATACTCAGTCTCTCGTCGAGCAAGACTCCTCATCATCTCGTCTTGTTCCTCAACAGGTAACTGAGCTTCTTGCACTTTCCTCTGAAACTCTCTGCGTCTGTGGGAAGCAAAAAAAAAAACATTAATAATCCTCAAGTCAAACAAAAGTCAACTCTATCTCTGATCTCGAAATTGAAGCTACGAACCTCTCCATACGCTCGTGCAAGCCTTGCAAGTAATTCTTGTAATGATTCTCGATGAACTGCTTCGCGGCAGCTGCTTTCTGACGCGTCACCGGAGACGAAACCGCCGAATCGGACTCCAATTCGAATCCGCGACCAGGTTTGGCGTTTACACCGCCGACGCGGACGGTTCCATCGGCACCTCCTTCCATTTTGAAGCAGATCGGCGTAGAGAGAGAGAGGAGGAATTGGTGATTTGTGGAGAAAGAGAGAGTGAGATATTTTATGAGAGAGGAGGCATGAGGATTGGATTAATATTGAAGAAGAAGGAGAAGAGTAATCGAGGAGAGATCTAAATGAGCTGTTGAAAGATGGAAAGGAGGAAGAACGTGGACTATTTTTTTACTTGCAAAGCTGTCTCCTCTATGTTTTCTGATTATTAATAGTAATTATCCATTTTATTTATAAACAATTACATTATTATTTTTTTTTAGTTTTTTGAGATTTTATAAGGATTAATTTGAAGCAAATTTTTAATCATCGTTCGTCTGACTTTGTGTCAGCGGAAGGTTTGGATCTCCCTGAGGGAACATTTCAATGTTTGTTTCTTTTAATTTTGGTATATGTGTTATGCAGTTTTTGAAGTCGTGTTCAATAGTAACAAGTAGAGCTTTTATTAAGATCTCGGCGTCACAATTACTCTATCTATCCTCCCTGTATCGGAAAAATTATCAGTGTACTTTCTAAAAATTATTTAATACTTTGCTGATGTCAGATAAAATATTATTCAGTAGTTTGCCAATAGTGTATTGTTGTGCATCAATAAATTCCACTTGACTATGTTTTTCTTTTTTTGCTTCGTCTTCACCAATTAAGCAGTATTATTATAGTAATGTTTATGATTGTATAAGTTCAATATTAAAAACCATCCAGTTAGGAATCCTAGAAAAGCTACCTCTTAGAGTAACTTTGATACTCTGATTCTGTCCAATTAAACAAGTTATATTTCTTGAATTTTGGGTCTTGACATTTTGAACTGTAATTTTGGGTCTTGACATTTTTTTTTTCTATAAATTCAATATGTTGATCTGGTCAATATGTTGATCTGGTCGGTTCTGAGAGAAACACATTTAATGCTACAAAATACAGTAGAACCTCTATAAATTAATACTCGATAAATTAATAATCTCTATAAATTAATAAATTTCACCGGTCCCAACTTGGGCCGGTGTAAAATATGACACATATCGATAAAATAATAAGATAATAATATTTTTAAAACTGCTATGTAAATATATGGTCCCATTAAAATCATAAATTAATAATCTAGCTATATATAGTTTTATATGAGTACAATCTAACATTATATTGTTGGTTTTATATTTACTATAAAATACTTTTATTTTTTAAACATTCAATATATTTTGATAATATTTAGTTAGGGGTTTTTTATTTACTATAAAAAAAATTTTTTAAAAAAAATTTCAATATATTTTGATAATATTAATTAAATTATATAAAAAACCATGTAACAATTCTATGAAACTTAAAAATATACACCAAATAATATAATAAAACATATAAAAGTCAAATTTCTAAAATTTAAATAATGTACATATGCTAAAATCAAATATATTTTTTATTTTAAAAATGGAAAAAATAACAAAAAAATCTAAATAAGGAAACTTTCGTAAATTAATATCTCTATAAATTAATAAAATTTCAAAGTCCCAACATTATTAATTTATAGAGGTTTTACTGTAGACTATCTCAAAAGCATATCATACTGTCTTATTCGAGTTTGGAATATCTTTCGACTAATATTAAAAGATGGACCGGTGGACCGATCATCTATTACGGTCTACCATGTAAATCACTTGGGCTGAAACCCAAGCTCAGACTGGCCAAATAGTGATAATTTAGTTCATAGAGAGAATAGAACACATAAGGGATGTGGATACACACCAAGCCCAAAAGATTTCCACTAGGTTACCACCACTTGAATTTGGGTCTTGACGTTTTTAACTGTAATTGGACCAAGTGTTAATATTCTTTTGCTTCATTTTAATATTTCTATTATTTTATTTCTAATAAATTTAAAAAGAAAAACAGAAAATAATAAGACATAAACCACATTAAACTAATTGACACTATAAAAAATGTTTTATAAATTCATGTAAAATATAATTATACCACCTTCCTAATACTTATTTTTATTCCTCATAAAAAGTACAAACAAGTATTTGAAAACGATGGAAATTTTATATTTTTATAGGAACCGAAATTTTTGTACTGTCAATATTTACAATGAAGAAAGCACAGTTTTTAACGGAGACTAAATTTTCTGCAGAGTCAACAACAAGTAATTCATAGATGCAGAAAACAAATGAGAGAATATAAACAAACGAATTATAAAAACAAGAAACTATATTCTGAATCAGTGTATATGTGTTTCAGAGACAAAATCGTTCAGAATGTTAGTTACCATGATTACAACAAAAATGGATAAATAAATACATACAATAAAAATCTATCCAAGTTTGCTAGAGTAACTACCTATGTCGACAAAACTTATATGAGACGCATCTCATTAACAAAATACTAATATAAAGCATATGTTTCTAACTGCTGAGAGTTTTAGTAGCTAAGTTTCTCCCCCCCCCCCTCTTCTCTTTCTTGACATTGTTTATATACTCTTCCAAGGTCGGCTATGTTTCCTTTTCCCACAGATCTATATCTTTCATTTTTCTGGTTAATTTTGCCATATCTGTCGAGATTCGATTTTATCCTTCGAAAATCTTTCATTATCATTTTTTCTCATCCCTCTCCAAGTAAAGTAAACAAACATTGAGATTGGGCTACTTTACCTTTTGTAAGTGGGATGTATCGTGTTTAAGGCCATTTCGGATAATTTTGTGACTTAGCGTTTTACGACTTTTCCTTGAAAAGACTGTTGGCCTGTTTCGAGAAGCTAAACTTTGTGTTGTTGGTCTACCAAATGATAAAAAAACCATTTCAGTTCATCAAAACATATTATTGGTGCTCAAGTTAATTGTTTCCGACTTGACGTTTAGCTAATTTTTTTGAGAAAATAAATGTTTCTTGTTTTCTTTGTAAAATCTCAATGGCAACTCTGATTGCGACGAAACGCATAATTCAGACTAAATCCAAAAAAGAAAAATGATGATGAGGAAGAGTGAGAGCGGTGATGGAGAGAGAGAGAGAGAGAGAGAGAGAGAGAGAGAGAGACGATGAGAAAGGAGAGATAGAGGCGATGAGAGAGGAGAGGGAGAGGCAATGACGAAATGAGATTTTTTTAACATAAGATTATTTCGTAAAAACTTGTTTTAGGAAAGTTTTTCCAAAAAAAATTCTGAAGTTTGTTTTACGGAAATGTTTTATTAAACTGTGCTTTACTGTTTTACCCTTTCGAAAGAACTTTTTCCGGATTTTTGTTGTTTAGATAGAAATATCTTTGTTCTTTTCCGAGAAGAAACATACAAGGTTTTTCTTACGCGTCTTTGTTAAAGTGTGCATGACATATACATTGTTATCTCGACATTTCTAGCTTATTCTTGCAAGTGATACAATTCTCGTAGGATTTTATCCATTGATTTCTCTATAATCGATTTTGACCCCAACAAATAGCCCCTAGCTTGCAAGAATTATGTGTGACTCTATTGAGGTGAGTATAAGCGTTTAACTGGAATCAACTGCTGAATGTTGCCTTATCTGATCCTGGACATTTCTGAAACAAAGTGAATGGTTGAGTGGATCACTTTTCTTCTTCCTTATAAGATGGAAGTGTTCTCTCAATTTTTACTTGCTTGTTCATCTCTTAAGAATTTCTTTAAGGTATATAAATTTTCCTGTGTTCTCCTTCTTTTTTTAGTAAAATTCTTTTCTCAGTGTCTCCCAACGGTATCAGTAGAAGAGAGGGCTTCTTCAAGCGTTGACACTGATTCTGGATGTGAGTCGAATGAACTGACTCCCGACTACGTATGTTGCTTGTAAGGAAACTCACAAGGTGAGTGATGAGGAGTTCATGAACGATTAACATGGAGACCCATGTTCTGATCTCGAAGAGGCACATGATATTGGAGGGGTACGCATAATATCACATCTCCTCCTCCTTTCCGACAAGTTCCAAGGAGGCCGAGGCCGCTGGGTCTACTTGCAAACATAATCTGAGAACTCCTTCATACTTGCTCTCTCACTTGCCTACCAAGGTATTAATCTGTTTCTGATTGTTTTATCACCAATGTTAACAGTGCTTTGCATAGTTATCTGAACTTCACCATACCTTCTCAAATTCATTTATCTCCATTGAAGATATAAATTTGTCTGAAATGCATAGCGAATGCAGAATTTTTTCAAAAGGTCGAGAAAGTAATCTGAGATGAAGCTGATGATCCCATTCCAGTCCGTTGTGAAGCATCTATTCATGATACGTTTAGCCAATCTGTCCCATATGCACATTTTCTCACATCATTATTTGAAAGCTTATGCTATGTTTTGCTTTGCTGAAACAAAGCCTTCTTCCATATCTACTTTACTATGTAGAGAAATCATTTTAGACGGTGATATTGGTTCTGATACTTTCTCCACATTTGAATTTCATCTTCCTTGTTCATAGCACACACATAATTATTTTAATTGTGATACTGGTTATGTTTCTTTCTCCTGTTTTGAATTTCATCTTTCTTGTTCATAAATCATTCATAATATTTATGTTTAGTGAGAACCTTATTTTGTCTGGCACTTCTTTTTTTTGTTATTATCATTGTCTTTTTGGCATTCTCAAAAATAGAGATATGCTAATATATCGTGATGCAATCGTGGGTGACCTCACCCACTAGTGATGAAGTCTATCTTTCCTACAAAACATATTCATTCAGCCTTTCTTCAGATGAACCTACATGGACATCGATTGAGACTCTTGCTCCTCCCCCTCCGTATATGGTGGCCTACCTACTAGATGAGGTGTTGTAGAATGGAGCCTACCTACCCGAAATTCCTTTCAATGGGGAATTATATTATTAAAATCTTCATCTGGTATTTTCATTTAGCGAAATCCTATATTTTCAGAACTTAGTCATTTCGAACCACATGAACCATGGAGTTGTTGCGTTATTAATGTGGGAACTGACTGAACCTCCCTTAGTCCCCATCAGAACTGCCGTCGAGCCTTGACATTTCCAGCTTGTTCTTGCTAGTGATACAATTCTCGTAGGATTTTGGCTGTTGATTTCTCTATGATCAATTTTGACCCCAATAGGTAACCCCTAGCTCGTCAATGTGTGATTCTGATGAGGTGAGTATAAGCGTTGAACTGAAATCAATTGCTGATTGTTGCCTTATCTGATCCTGGACTTTTCTGAAACAAAGTGAATGGTTGAGTGGATCATCTTTTTACTTTCTTATAAGATGGAAGTGTTCTCTCCATTTTCACTTGCTTGTTCATCTCTCAAGAAATTTTCTAACGTATAGAAATTTTCCTTCTCTCTCCTCTCCTTCTTTTCTTAGTAAAATCTTTTTCTCAATGTCTCCCAATGGTATCAATGGAAGAGAGGATTTCTTTACGCGTTGACAGTGATTTTGGACGTGGGTCAAATGATCCGACCCTCGACTACGTTGCTTGTAAGGAAACTCACAAGGTGAGTGAAGAGGAGGCCATGAAGGATGAACATGAAGACCCATGTACTGATCCCGAGGAGGCCACAAGATATTGGAGGGTTACACATAATATCATGTCTCCTCGGCCTTTCCAACAAGTTCCAAGGAGGCCGAGGCCGTTGGGTCTACTTGCAAACAAAATCTGAGAATTCCTTAATACTTTCTCTCTCACTTGGTTTCCAAGGTGATTAATCTATTTCTGATTGTTTCACACCAATCTTAACCATGCTTTGCATAGTTATCTGAACTTCAACATGCCTTTTCAAATTGATTTTTTTCCATAGAAGATATAAAGTTGTCTGAAATGCATAGCGAATGCAGAATTTTGTTGAAAGGTCGAGAGAGTTATCTAAGACGAAGCTGATGATCTCATTCCAGTCCATTGTGAAGCCTTGAACATGATACGTTTAGAGAATTTATCCCATATGCACATTTTCTCACATCATTATCTGCAAACTTTTAATTACCATGTTTTGCTTTGAAATCGTGGGTGATCTCATGGAGTAGTGATGGACCTCAATCTTCCCTAAAAAAACATATTCAGTCTTTCTTCAGATAAACGTACATGGACATCAATTTAGACTTTTGCTCCTCTCCCCCCCCCATCCCCCGATATATGGTGACCTACCTACCAGATGAGGTGTTGTAGAATGGAGTCTACCTACCAGAAATTCCTTTCAACTAGGGATTACACCTTTTAACTAAGAATTATATTATTAAAATATTCATCTGGTATTTTCATATAGCAAAATCCTAGATTTTCAGAACTTAGTCACTTCGAACCACATAAACCATAGAGTCGTTGCGTTATTAATATGGGGATTGACTGAACCTCCCTTAATCCCCATCAGAACTGCCGTCGAGCCTAGACGGCGCTAGCACGCAAGCTTGGTCGAAATGAAAGCTGAAATCCTAGTTGGAATTTTTTTTCGCCCACCTCAGCAAAACGCTGCGTTAGTGTAAGTTATCTGTAGAGAAAGTAAAAGCTAAAAAGTAAACGTAAATGACATTTGTCTTTACATAATTAAATTGAATCATGTCTTCATACGATGAGATTAGCGTTACACAGCTATAGTCAAGGTTTTGATTAAGCATAAACAACAAGTTTATGATAAACTAGTGGTTTTCCCGAGCTATGCCAAGATTTTCTTATATAAATTTTAGTTTAATTTAATTTATAATATTAATTTTTAATATATAGAATACCTATACATCGATTTTAAAAATATAAATCATAAATTAAATTGTAAACGAACTAATATTGACAGTAGATATTATTTGTTTTCTGTTTTAATCATGTTAAGATTTTAAATAAATTTACATAATATTTGATCAAAAAAGTGTAATGTTTTGATGTGATAACTTGGTTATTGTTTGATAAACTATTTTCTGAAAAACTGATGTATTTAATAATGTCTTTGTATAGGTAATTGTTTTATTTTTCAAACTTCTGACAGTGTCTATTATAGTATTTTTTTTAATAAAAATTTGTTTTTGATGTTAAAGCGGGTAATATTCTTCTCCAATTTACTGAACAAAAAAACTATAAAATATCATAGCTTATAATTCAAATTTATATAACTTTATATTTATTAGTTTTGTTTAAAATTTTAAAATTTTCTGAAAAAATAATTGTATATTTATTTTTGCCAACAATCGTATATTAAAGTAGTGTATACTAAATTTTGTAATATAATGATTCCTAACTATAATAATGCTACTACACTGAGTCTATAATACTTGATAGTTTTAAACAAAATTATATACTGAACTTTTTGTAAGCTTACACGCTTTACAAATGCTTGCATGACATTTTCATAATTAATACAATTTTGATTCTTAAATAATTATAGTAAACATGTGATAAAATTTACTGGGGGTTATTGATTCCACTATTTTCATGGATTTAGAAAAACATTTGGATTTAGAAATCTTTAATAAATCATATGATTTAAAATAGAGCAAATAGATTTAAGAATCAAGGATATTGATTTCAAAATGAAAATAGCTTTTTACGGAAATCAAGGATATCCAAATCTCTGATAAATCATAGGATTTTAAAATCGAGCAAATATAATTAAGAATCAAGGATACTGATTTCAAAATGACTTTAATTGTTTTTTCGTTTTTTTTACTTGGTTTCAGAGTTGTTGTGTAATTCTGTTTTTCTTCGTTTTTGTTTGACTCTTGTTGGAGCTTTTTATTTTTTCTTTTAAACTCTTATTTTACGGAAATATTTTGGAAATCAAGGATATTGATTTCAAAATTAAAATTGATTTAAGAATCAAGGATATTGATTTTAAAATTGAGCAAATAGATTTAAGAATCAAGGATATTTATTTAGATATTTCATATTTAGAGATATGAAAGTTGTCATCCATCTTAAAAAATAGGTTGAAAGTGAGGAATTTTTTTTTTAATCTACTGGACTAAAAATATTTATTATAATCATATCATTTGTAAAAATCAATAAAAAATCAAATAAAATAAAAGATTTTTATAATTGGACCTAAAACACTTTCAACAAATGATAGAATGACAAGTATCATCTTTTGCTTCTATGAAGAGAAAAAAACTTTACTTTATTATATAAGAGATGTATAAATAATTATTTTTGGAAAAACTTTTGAAATATTTTATAACTAATAAATCATATATCACCATTACAATATAAATGCATACATAAAATTAATAAAAATAAACTAAATATAAGTACACTGTAAAAAAAAAAATCACATTAACTTATATATATCATTTTTTCCTAAATGAAAATATATATTAAAATTATTTGTAATTTTTTTGTTAAAATAGAAAACTAAAACAATAATAATTAAATAAAAAATTGTTTTAATTAATTTAAAATTTTTATTAGCATTTATTCGTTCATTAAGTAAACTAAAATTTGTTAAATATAATAAATATAAAAGCATCATTAAAAAAGGAGATAAAACATCATTAAAAGGATATTTATTTAGATATTTCATATTTAGAGATATGAAAGTTGTCATCCATCTTGAAGAATAGGTTGAAAGTGAGAAATTTACTTTTTTTTTAATTTACTGGACTAAAAATATTTATTAAAATCTTATCATTTGTAAAAATCAATAAAAAATCAAATAAAATAAAAGATTTTTATAATTGGACCTAAAACACTTTCAACAAATGATAGAATGACAAGTATCATATTTTGCTTCTATGGAGAAAAAAAACTCTACTTTTTTTTATAAGAGATGTATAAATATTTATTTTAAGAAAAAGTTTTGAAATATTTTATAACTAATAAATCATATATCATCATTACAATATAAATGCATATATAACATTAATAAAAATAAACTAAATACAAGTACACTGTAAAAAAATCACATTAACTTATATATAACATTTGTTCATAAATAAAAATATATATTAAAATTATTTGTAATTTTTTTTAAAATAGAAAACTAATACAATAATAATTAAATAGAGAGATTGTTTTAATTAATGTTAAATTTTTATTAGCATTTATTGGTTCATTAAGTAAACTAAAATTTGTTAAATATAATAAATATAAAACATCATTAAAAGAAGATGATACATGGCATTTTTTGCGCCTATGAAAAAACAAATCTAATTTATTATATGAGATATAAGAACGGATATTTCGTGTTTTGTGTAAGTGCCATTTGTTTTCATAAATTGAGATTCTACCTATGTCTTTATGTAATGAAAGACCTCTCTTCTCGCCCCTATATATAAATGTTACTCTTCTCCTCTCCATATACACAAGTCTGAATGAAAAAGAGAGCCTACTTCTTAAGTTATTTTTCTTTTTACTTGTTTCTTTCAAATTTTAATCAATTTTTAATTTCGACTTGAGATGGAATACATCACAGAGCTCAGTGAAGAGAAAACCGAAGATAACCCTTTTACGGTCTTTGGTTCAACGGTCATAAATAATCAACAAAACCAAATACCTCAAGAGTTCGTATGGCCGGATGATAAGAAACCCTCTGCAAACGTTCCAATCCTCCAAGTCCCTCTAATCGACCTCGCCTGTGTCCTCTCCAGCGACCCATTCCTAGTCTCGGAGGCTACAAGACTCGTGGCAGAAGGGGCAAAGCAACATGGTTTCTTCCTGGTCATCAACCATGGAGTCGATGAGGGACTCATGTCTCGTGCCTGTACATTAATGGACACATTCTTTAAGTCACCGACTTGTGAGAAACAGAAGGCTCAGAGGAACCATGACGACAGCTGGGGTTACACTAGTAGCTTTGTAGGAAAATTCAAGAAGAATCTCCCGTGGAAGGAAATGCTGTCGTTTAGGTTCACCCCAGAGGAGAAGAGCGAGAACCACTCCCAAATCGTCAAGGATTTCATTATCAAGAAAATGGGAGATGGATACAAAGATTTTGGGTAAATAAAAGGCATTTTCTTTTATTTGTTTTTACTAGATTGTTTGCGTTTCTATGTTATGTAATGACTACACAGTAGATGACATGATATTAGTTAGTTAGTTTTTGTTTTATACATATATGCAGGAATGTTTATCAAGAATACGCGGAGGCCATGAGCAACCTCTCACTGAGGATCATGGAGCTTCTTGGAATGAGTCTTGGAATCAATAGGAGCCATTTCGTAGAGTTTTTCGAAGACAACGATTCCATATTGAGATTGAATTACTACCCCAAGTGCAAGCAACCGAATGATGTATTAGGGTCAGGACCACACTGCGACCCAACCTCTCTAACCATACTTCAACAAGACCATAGTGGTCTTCAAGTTTTCGTGGACAACCAGTGGCAAGCAATCCCTTATAACCCTCAAGCGTTGGTAATTAACATTGGTGACACTTTCAGGGTAACTTTTCATTTTCCTTTAAGTTCAATGAATACGACTAATAAAGTAATAATACAACAAACTTGCACAATTATTTTTTGGGAGATTTTATCAATTTAAAATATTAGACAAGTTTTGTCTTTTCCATCTGGGGGCTTTGATTATAGGCTCTAACTAACGGAAGATACAAGAGTTGCTTGCATAGAGCGGTAGTGAATAACGAAAACGAAAGAAAGACACTTGTATTCTTCCTATCTCCGAAAATGGACAAAGTGGTGAAGCCACCAGAGGAATTAGACGGTGAAAGAGCGTATCCTGATTTTACATGGTCTCTGCTTCATGAGTTCGTAATGAAACATTATAGAACAGACGAGAACACCCTTGAAGAGTTTACAAAATGGCTCAAGGACAGATGAAATTTCTGATGAAGGATCTTCGCAAATTAAAGAGTGATTAATGAAAAAAATATGAAGAGTGCTGCAAGTGTTGACGAAAATAATGTTTTTTTTTGAGAAAGGATTTGCATAATGATTAATTTTAGGTTTTATTTATTTATATTTGTATGAAGATGCATGTCCATCAACATTGTAAGAAAGGTTTTAATATTTATAAAATATTAATCTATAAAATTGAAACCTTTCAAAAAAAAATTCAACAATTGTTATTCGTAAAATAATTTCAACAATTGATCAAAGACTCTGTTACAAAAACGTACTTTTGTCTCTGGCAGCCGGTTCACGTCTCCTACAATAGGTTCGGGTCTGAATACCTGTGGGGAGGGGAATCAGCAACAAGCTCTTGTTCCTAGTTCAAGGAAGTTTTTTTTGATGATTTACGCCTAAAATGTAACATCTTGAATTATAAAAAAAGTTTTTTCTGTTCTCTTTTTTTTTATAATATTTATTTATAATCAATTTAAAGCTTTCTACTGATATTTTAGATATTAACTAACAGGAAATAAAAAAACAGAGATAGAGAAAAATAGAGAAATAGAATATGATAAATCTAAAACTCATAAGAATTGTTATTTTCACTGATGCTCAATTGTCAAAAAATATCAAAATTTGTCTTTTGATCTAATTTTAAATATAAATATTTATATTTTTAAGAATTGTCAAATAGTTTTTTAAACCTTGAAAATGCTCTTATGTTAGGAGCTTGAGTTTCATAGTTTTCAAAAGCTATTACATGAGCTTTTTCCATTCTATTTCTTTATGTTGTTGGATTCAGATCCTTTAAAGCCATATGATAGCGCCTCTATTCTGATTAAACACATACAATTCAATTCTTAGAAAAGGAAAAAAGTTCGGCACAAATATAATATTAAAACTGAAATACTAATGAAGACTGTTGGAAATATGAATAACAATATTAAAAAATATGTTTGAAAATATAGATAGCAGTATTAAAAAGATTTTATCTCTATTGGAATTTTTATTAATCATATCTTATTTTGCATATATAGATTTTGTCTATTATTTACTAAACAATAAATATTTCAATACGATAAATAGATAATGAGAAATATATGATTTCTTCAATTATATACACGTAAACAAAGAGTTTTTTTGCAAAATTGACTCAAAACTCATAGTCAAACACAAAACTAACTTCTTCTTTTACCTCATCTTCACCCTACATTTGCATTTTATTTATAAAGATGCCATTAAATTTTTTTTTTACTTTTTTTCGAAAATGACCTTTTTACTCTCTCAACTTCATCATCTTCAAGTATTTACAACATTGTCATTGCCATGAATACTCCCAACAACCTTGTACAACCAAGGTTTGAAGCTTTTAATGCACTTAAAATCGATACTCATACTCTCTTTCTCAATTGTTATGAACTAAAAACAACATCTCCTTCACTTTGTCTCCATATTCATACCAAAAACCCAATCTTTTGATAGCAAATTTTTATGGTTGATAGAGCCATTTAAGCATACAATTGTTGGTGGGTTACTTTCGTTTGATGTTCTGGGTGGTTGGAGAAGACTGTGTGTGCAAAGGAAGTCATCTCACCTAGTTTAAGGTATGAAATTGAATTTTTTTCCAGATCTGTTCGCGTAGAAGACTTACACATAAGTCATCTGGATGTAGAAGACTTACGGATAAGTCTTCTGGTCAAATGAACGACTTACTTTTAAGTCGTCCAGCTTTGTTTGTTTTAAAAAAACACCAGTCGACTTATAATTAAGTCGTTTAGGTAAAACATGCTACTTTTGCATTTGACCGAATTGTGTCTGATATTTGACTTTTTCTGGACGACTTACAATTAAGTCGTCCTTAGGAAAGTTAAAATTTCAATATTTTATTAAATCTAGACGGCTTACGGATAAGTCGTCTTAGGTTAGTTTTGCAATTCAAAAATAAAACTTAAATTTTTAACTTCTCCAGACTACTTAATTGAAAGTCGACCGATCAGACGACTTATGTTAAAGTCGTCCAGGATAATCAAAGTCGTCCAGAATATTTTTCGAGTTTTCTGGTCAAACCTTGCCTATCCTGGACGACTTTAACATAAGTCGTCTGATCGGACGACTTCCAATTAAGTCGTCTGCAAGAAGTTAAAAATTTAAGTTTTATTTTTAAATTACAAAACTAACCTGAGACGATTTATCCGTAAGTCATCTAGATTAAATAAAATACCTGACACAATTCGGTCAAATGCAAAAGTAGCCCGTTTTACCCAGGCGACTTAATTATAAGTCGTCTTGTGTTTTTTTTTTTTTTAAC